AACAATAGCAAAGTGGGAACTATAATGGCAAGACAATACAGAAGTGAGGATTTCACATCCCAGTATTGATAAGTGAGTTCTTGCCAGACAGGATGCTATCAAACTAAGTTTTCTTTTACATTTTCTAGGCACTTCCCTTTCTCTGGAGCTGATAGGCACTATCAGGACAGGATTGTATTCCTAACAGCCCAATAGCACCTTCTTTCCATGTGACTACTTTGGAATGTGAGGAGGTGACCGGTCGCTTTCCAGCATATGGCTGTCTCTGTCGCTTAGCCAAAGGCCTTAGCCTAAGAACAGGGCCCCAGACTGTCACAGTAAGAGAAGGACCTTACATTGGCAGACAGTGATTTTGATTCTTTCTTTTATACCTCTAACTAGCCAAGTGATAAGAATACACCTAAATTCTTAAAGTACAGGCCTTTACAGGCAGGCCTGAATATCTATATCCTACCAGAGGGGGTGGGGAATGAGGGCTCCGGCTGTGGGTGCAGGCTCTGGGGTGGGGCTGGAGATGAGGAGTTTGGGGTGTAGGAGGGTGCTCTGAGCTGGGACTGAGGGGTTCGGAGGGCGGGAGGGGGATCAGGGTTGGGGCAAGAGGTTAGGGTGCAGGAAGGGGTGCAGGCTCTGGTTTGGGGTATGGGCTCTGGGGTGGGCTGGGGATGAGGGACTAGGGGTGTAGGAGGGTGCTCCAGGCTGGACTGAGGGGTTCGGAGGGCAGGAGGGGGATCGAGGATGGGGCAGGGGGTTCAGCTGTGGGGAGGTGAGGGCTCCGGCTGGGGGTGTGGGTTCTGAGGTGGGGCTAGGGTTTAGAGAGGTTTGGGGTGCAGGAGGGTGCTCCAGGCTGGGATCAAGGGGTTTGGAGTGCGGAAGGGGGTTCAGTTTGGGGCAGGGGTTGGGGCACAGGAGGAGGCTTGTTGGATCATATTAAAGAAGTCCTGTATTAAAATCACAAATGAGTTTGATTCCCCATAGTTTAAATTCCAGGGTATTACTAATTAAGAGGGCTCTTGGGTTTTGGTACTGTTTCTCTCCCTCTCTGTGTGAAACTTGCAAGCTGCTAATTGCATTAGTACATTCTAAGACAGAGTCTGTTCCCAGACCAATTCTTTGTAAGAACAACAACTGCTCACACACAGAGAGAGACTCAAAGCAACACTCTGCAACAACAGAAACAGCACCCAGAGACTCCCTGCCCTTTTGTTGTATTCATCTCGCTTTGTTAACAATTGTGATTAAAATAGAGATAGAGGATGTATGTGGATGGATGCTTGGTGTGGATAATAACTGAATGATCAGGGAGGTGCCAGCCTAAGAATCCAGTGTCCATCGGCTGAAGAAGGCGTCAAGTGGAAATAACCAGAGGACCCCGGGAGGGCAGACTGGAATCCACCCAACAGCCTCAAAAATGGGAGAACCAAAGAACAAGATAACATCTGGCAGCACGGAGCCGTCAGGAATGTGCCATCCGCTGATTGATTCAGCAACAGCACGATGAAGCAATTCCCATAGACTGACAGAGGAAGAAATTCCTATAAAAATGGACTCTGGAAAGTGAGAACTTTGGGGTCTGATTCTGCAAACCAACTTCCAGGAGCATCAGATGAGTATCTAACAAGGCCCTGCTCCCGCCTCATGTCCAGGCCACCTGGCCAGTGGCTTGGCATGAGCAACTCTAAGGCTGGTAACTATGATAACAACCTTGCAGAACCTGTGTGTGTGTGTCTGTGTGTGTGTGTGTATGAATGAATGTGTGAATAAATATGAGATTGAATGGAATGTTATAGCTATAACTAACTGCTTACTAGGATTCTTTCTGTATTCACAATAAATGTGGTATTTTGCCTTTTCCCCTTTAATAAGATCCTGCTGGTTTTTATTTTATTGGTATAACAGGCTCAGTGGTGAAGTCTCCAGGTGGCGCTTACCTCAAGCAGCTCCCAGAAGCAGCGGCATGTCCCTTCTCTGGCTCCTATGCAGAGGTGCAGCCAGGCAGCTCTGTATGCTGCCCCGTCCACAGGCACTGCCTCTGCAGTTCCTATTGGCCTCCGTTCCCGGCCAATGGGAACTGTGAGGGCGGCACTTGGGATGGAGGCAGTGTGCAGGGCAGATGCGTAGGAGCTGAAGGGGGGGCCATGCCACTGCTTCCAGGAGCCGCATGGAGCAGCCCCAGACCCTGCTCCCAAGCTGGGGTGCCAGAGCGGGGCAAGCCCCAGACCTCACTTCCCAATGGAAGCTCAAGGGGCAGATAAAAATGGCTGGTGGGCTGGAGCTGGCCTTTGGGCCGCAGTTTGCCCACCCCTGTTTTAGAAGGTCAAGCAGTGCTGGACCTCTAATGCAAACCCTTCCCATTGACCCATTCCCTAATGAAAGAGCTAGGCATGTCAGTGGGTGCTGCTTTGACCATGCGTAGAGCGCACGGTGCTCCGGCAATCTCTAATTAACCTCACAGTCCAAAGGGACCCTTAGAAGTTGGATGGCAGGATTTTGATTTTTTCCCAAGTATTGGGTTGTTTGTAAAATAAATTCTCACTGAAGACTTTTGGTGAAAACATTTTTTTTAGTCTTTGTTTGTTCTGGAGTTCTACATTGGGTTTTGTATTCATGATTTTGATTGGTCATCTGCGTTAAGGGGGGATTTCTTGCAAAATTGAAAAAAAATTCATTGTCCAAAACTACTCATTTTAAAAATGGAAAAAAAAATAGATTAAAAAATTCCATGGAGAATTTGGAAAACAACCGACCTCTGTATTATTAAAAAAACAACCAACAAACAAAAATGCCTAGTGAAATTTTTGAAATTTGCAAAAAAATTGTTTATTTTCTACAAGCAATTGGCAAATGCATTTCTGTATCAGAAAATGAATGACCGCCAAATTAAAGTACAATTCAGTACAACAACCTGCTCATTTTCTTTTCAATAGGAGAGAACTGAGAGGCCTGTAAATCCAAAATGATTTTTTAGTATTTGCCTGATCTACAATTATTTGTGCTACCCACAGAAAATGTCACTCATTCTCCTAGACATTTCCATTGACACATTTAAATTCTTACACTTTTTGTCTTGTTAACATTGATTGTAAGTGAGCCAAGAATTCAATATTCCTATTTCTTTGTGTAAGCAGAGTCAGGATGAGCTCCACCCTGACATGTGGTGGTGAGGTGTGGAAAAGAACTTCAGGAGCCAATCTCATTTGCATAGGCACACCCACCCCGCCTAGAATGAGGCCATAGCTGCCCAAATGGTCACTTTGGCTGCCATGGGATCCCCAGTGTCTCTGTTATTGGGGCAGGAAGAATAAATTGTTATTACCCTGATTATGGGAATCAAGGACAGTGGAACTGTACTTGGCCTTTTGTTATGATGGAGGGACTTGCCATCAACTAAGTAGCACTCGCTAGGCAAGGGACATGGGTTCCAAAATTGACAGGGACAGGTATTAATACTTGGTGGTATGGGTCCCCTGGTGAGGGCCTTACATGCTAATTGCACTTCCTCCTCTCTCCACTGTGGAATATCAGACCTAATTTTGATTCCATTAGGAGTCTAGTTACAGGCTGTTTAGCTGAATTCCCTTTGGGCTAATGGTGCACCAGCACTGAGGCTCCCCTCCTACAAGCTGAAATCACAAAAGAGCTAAACTTACTAAGAGCTGAAATCACTGAGCGTTGTGTTAAGTAGTGGGGGAGCCTGAAGATATATGGGGGAGCAGTTTGCGGGATGCAGGGCGGCTTGTCGAGCAGAGCAGTTTGTCGGATGCCTAGAGCAGCTCATGGGGCGGCTGGCAGAGTGGAGCCCCATGGAGAGGTGGGGCCATCAGCTTTGGACCATGTTAGGTGTCCCTTAACGCGCCCCCCCCACCCCAAAACTCCACCCAGGTTGGGAGGTAAAGCTCTGCAGATAAACTTTCGAACTCTGGGGCTGCCCTGACCAGGGACAGAGACTTTTGTGTCATTGGACTTTTGGGACTTTGGGTGATTTTGGGTTGCTGGACTCAAGAACCAAAGGGAAAGGACACGCCCCAATTTGCTTGGGGTGGGTTTTTTTGCTCCTGGGTTGTGTTATGAATCCTGTTGGTGGTGTTTCCCCAACATAATGCCACATTGTTTCTCTCTGTTATTAAAAGGCTTTTTGCTACACTCAGACTATGTACTTGCGAGAGGGGAAGTATCGCTTCTTGGAGAGGCGCCCAGCGGGGGTGGTATATATTTGTCCCAGGTCACTGGGTGGGGGCTTGAGCTGGTTTTGCATTGTGTTATTGGAATGGATCCCCTAGATATTGAACCTGGCTCTTGTTGCTGCCAACTCTGACAGGCAGAAGGGTTACATTTGTTTGTTCAACCTATGTTGGCCTTAACAATTAAGGGTTTTTTTAAGAGAAACAAGCTGCAGGGTTTAAGCCAGTCTCGAAGTATTAGAGATCAGGGTGACACCATTCAAAGGGGATGGGTCAGGGGGCAAATTTATCCCACATCTGCCCACTGTGGGGTTCATACACCTTCTTCTGAAGCAGGTGGTGTTGGCCGCTGTTGAAGGCAGGATACTGGGCTAAGGGACCTGGGGGTCTCATCCAGTCTGGCAATTACTATGCTTCTATGTGAAACTGGATCTCAGAGAAATAGTTGGAATGGGGAACAGAGAAAAAGTACAAGAAAGAGCAGGAGACAGATAATGATCTTAATTGAAATTTTATTGTTGCACGTCCACAATTAAGAATCAGATGGAAAAGAGGATAATGACATGCCTGCAATGCTGGATGCCCATTGAGTAGAAGCAAGGAGTACATCGCTCCCGGCTGTACGGTATATCGCAGGGCTACATCATCAGCTCATTGCAAGTCTCGGGATACGAATGAAAGATTTAGCATTACAAGGCAGAGCTCTGAAGGAAATGCTTCTTCGGCTGGGAACACGAGCTAAGCAAGTCATGAGAGAGGGGACTCATCTGCAGTCTGTGCTTGTCGCTGGCTTTTTGTTTCATTGTGGTAGCTCAGAGGATGTTAGCAGTGCTTCCAGTCTTGGGACTGCTGTGGAGGGGGGCATTTGGGAGGGCAGGGCTCCTTGCATGGTGGAGGGCATTTCTCCTGGCATTTCGGAGGCTTGCAGGGCTCCTTGCATGGTGGAGGGCATTTCTCCTGGCATTTTGGAGGAGGTGGGCAGGTCTGTTTACATTGCTGCTGATCGGAAGACATCTTTCAATGATCTAGGTAAACCTGAAAGAAAAATGGTTTGTCTTTTCAGCAGGTACCAAACATAGCATGATGCGCCTTTGCCTGCTTTCACAGATTCATTCAGTCCCTCATCCGGTTTTGCAATCTGAACAGGCTTTAAGCTGCAGCTTGATATTAGCAATGGGGACCTGGGGATCCAGCAATGGGGATCCAGCAATTGTCTTTCAAGAAACAGAAAGCCAAAAAAAAAGCCCAAACCTGAATATAATTCATTTTACTGCCTTCTTCGACAGAAAGAGGGTTGTTGTTTTTTCAAATAAAAGCAAATACATTTCAACTTTTTTGGGGGGGGCTCACAAAAATGGGAAATTATCCCAGGTTGAACCCTGCAAGATGGAACAATTTTGAATTTTTTCACAAAATTGTTTTTCCGTTTTTCTACCAGCTCTACCTAATCACCCCTTATCTCAGTTCCCCATTGCTGAAAGAGGCCTGTTATTCCTTCCTTCCTTCAGCATTTGTGTGTTTCGTTTGAGAGCACTTTTCATTAGGCACTGCCTGGCACGGTGCATATGGACAATGCCTCACACAAAAGTGCCCTCATCTTGTTGGGAGCATCTAGGTGGAACAATAATAACAGTAATAAAAAATATGGACCATTTCTACAGAAGATACATGGGAAATGGAAACCATTTCTAAAAGGACAACCACTGAACAGAACGGACAGCAATCCCACCAGTTGCATTGGCAATGGAGGTCATGGGACACAAGATGGGGCAGGCTCTGAGTAGCTACAGTGAATTCTTTCCTGAGTGTCTGGCTGGGGGGCCTTGCCCACATGCTCAGGATTGAACTGATTTCCTTCCTAACCCCAAATATGGCATTTTCCTCCAGGACAGATTGGCAGAGACCCTGTAGTGGGAGTTCTCCTTCCTCTGCAGCCTGGGGTACGGGTCACTTGCTGGTTTGAACTACAGTACATGGTGGATTCTCTGTAACTTGAAGATTTTAAACCATGATTTGAGGACTTCAGTAACTAAGCCAGAGGTCATGGGAATGGGTGGGTGAGGTTCTGAGGCCAGCGATGTGCAGGCGGTCAGACGAGATGATCCCATCTGGCCTATGAGTCTCTCAACAAAAATCGCTCTATCTCTGCGGTAGAGAGTAACAAATTAACACCAGCAATAACATGAGCTAAAGAAGCTGAGAGTCACTTACCTGTTTCAGCTGTAGGTACAAGGAAACACGCAGTCAAGTGGATTGATGCACCTACCGAGAGGAGCTATTTTATAAGGCTTATGAGACCTGGGAAATAGACAGTGAATTTGCATGAGGACCAGATTGTTTCACAACAACTGCTGACAATTCCTTAGTACCAGTTGAAGTCATCATTCATCAGAGACACCTCCCTCTCAGGAGTGGGAGATTATTAATTCTATAGAAACCCCACCTAATCTATTCACCACTAGTTAATTCATTTATAATCATCTCAGCCTGACCCGGGGCAAAAATCCCACTGAAATCAGTGCTGAGCCTAGGCGGCAAGTCTGACTGGATCTTGCCCAATCTTAATCATATTTCATGAGTTTGTTTAAACTTCAGGAGTTCCTGCTATTGCAATATACACACCCTGGGCCAGATTCTGAACTGGCGTAAATTGAACTGGCATCCATATGGTGCTAAAGACACATACCATGGGCAGGATTCATCATTGCCTCAGACTCCCTTATGCCTGTAAGTGTCCCCCGGAGAATTTCCCCAACATCCTGTGCTCTCTGCCACCTCTTCCCTGAAAACAGGGGGCAAAAGAGGGGAAGGGGAAGCAGTTGTAAGCAGAGTAATCCATAAGGGCTGTGAGCAGTTAATTCAAGTTAGGACAGTTCTTTATGATCCTCTAAATAGCTCCAGGGGCTAAAGACTCCCCCTCCCCCATAGGAAAGGTGAAAAGAATTCTTCCCCACAGAATAATTCTATCAAAAAAATTTTTCTCCCTTTTAATCATAAATTTTCTATGAAATGTTTTGGGTCTTAAATGAATAAAATGAAAACTTCCAGTTTAAAACCTGCTCTGGGTTGCTGACATATTTGTGGTTTTCAAGGTTTTTGCTTTATTGATGAAAATACAGGATTTGGGGGCCAATTTTTGCCTCCCCAATCAAAAAAGCATTTTTTGGTTAAAAAAAATGTTTTGATTGAAAAGTTATGAGCAACTATAGGGAAAACAGAAGAGGAAAACATATTCGTGCCTTCCTCCATCCCGCACCTTGTGTGTGAAAACCTATGAACCAAATTCTGCCCTCAGTTACACCTGTGCAACCCCACGGAGAACCAATGGACATGGTTTCCATAGGGTTGGTGAAGAACAGATGATAATGGTGATGGATGGTAATGGTAAAAGGATAATGACATTGCCCTGTCATCCAGCCCTACTACATATCCACTAAATGAAGGTCTCCTTTGCTCAAACAGTTATCATTCACATCCTAACTTATCAAAGGAGCAGAGAGCACCCATAACTCCCCTGGGAATCAGTGTCAGCTCTAAAAACCAGGCCACTTATTTTTAACCAGTCCTCTTAATCTTTGAATTGGGACAATAGAATTTTTCTGATGGATCCTAAAGTCCTGAATCCTTCAGCAGGAAATGAACCTATCTTTATGGAAGAAGTAATCAAAGTAGGGTCATATCCTTTGACTTCCCTCTAATAGTCTTGAAGATAGATAGATAGATAGATAGATAGATAGATAGATAGATTAGATTAGATTAGATGAACTTCCTCAATCATCAAGGTTCACTTTCAAGATACCGAGTCTTATTTCCTTACTGAAATATATTAAAAACTTTCACCACCTTGTTCTTCTTGTTCCGAAGTATTGCCTCTGTATTGACGGGAAGAACACAAAGAGTGATCACATCTTGTATTCATTCATCATTTGAGGAAAAGATTTAATTAGAAGATGATTTGGTAACAATGTCACAAACACACCTAAATATGCATCTCTTCCCATCTAGGTTAACTACACTCCACCAGCATACTAATGACATATCAGATAGGTCACAATGCAAATAATGTGTGACTGGCAGAGTGGTACAGTTCAGCATTACCTCACCTTCAGAATGGGCCTTCGCCTCGGTCCATGCAAGTCAATGGAAAGACTTGGCAATATATTGTGAATCCAAAGAAAGGGATTTTATTTCCTTTAAACAACATATTTAAACAAATTTTTGACAAATGATTGTTCTGTCTCCCGGACACTTTTCTTCTCCCCACTTTTGCCTGGGCAAAACCACATTGACATCCTTGAGTGTTGCGAAGCTGTTGGCAGGGGATGTCTTTTTCCTCTCTATTTGTACAGCACCTACAGCCACAGGATACCTGCCCATGGCTGGGCTCCTAGGCGTTGTGACAATACATAGAGCAATAAGTGCTTCAGACTGAGAAATGGACTTGGTTGGGTTTCCTTCATTCTTCACCCCGAACAGTTTCACAGGCATTCAGAAATCAATGGCGCTCAAACCAGAAGATAACCTGGACAGCAATGCGTCGTCAGTGGCAGTTTGAAGCACTGTGGCTTGTTGACCCTATCAGTGAGGGAAGGGTCCCCATCTTTCTTGAATGACACAGTTCAGCCCTGCTTTTCACAGCTCTCACCAATCCCTTCCAGCCCTACATGGCAGGAAATTGAAGTCACACATTTTATAGTGTCGAAGGACCTTTTGCGGAGGAAGCACCAGGTACTAATAAGCTCTTTAGCCGAACAGAGAAAGGCAGAACAAGAACCAATGGCTGGATGGTATAACCAGACCAATTCAAATGAGAAATAGGCCCCATTGTTTAGCAGAGAGAGAGAGATTAACCATTGGAACAAACTGCTGTGGGAAGTGATGGATTCCCCATCTCCTGTTGTCTTCAAAACCAGCCAGGATGCCTTGCTGGGACAGATGCTTCAGTCAAAGACAAGTTGTTGGGCTCAATACAGGCACAACAGGGTGAAATTCTCTGGCCTGTCTTATGCAGGAGGTCAGACTAGATGATCATAATGGTCCCTTTTGGCCTTAAAGTCCATGAATCTATTAATCTATTTCAGGAGCAGAAATATTGTGCTCGTTGCAGCAGGACATGGTGAGACGGTTCCACTCTGTGAAGAGCCAATGTCAGAACATAAGCACCCAAACTTCACAGCAGCAGGAGTCTGTGGTGAATCCTTAATCTAGCCTGGCCAACGGAGTGGAGAGGACTGGGCTGGGTTCGGAGGCCTCAAAACTAAGATTACTGGGGCAGTTCCCAAAGGCCATCTCGCTGGCCTAGACCCTTGAACTTGGCCCGGTTCCACTGAAATCCATTGAATCTGTCTTGCTGTCATTTCAGTCATGCACCTCTGTAACCAAGTGAAGTTCTGTCTCAAACATTTGAAAGGAATGCAAAGATAGAAACAAATCCATGAATTCCAGGATTTATTTAAACAAGACGGAAGCAAAAAATTTTTAAAACAAAGCACTGAGTTGTTTGTTTCAGCGAATGCTGTTTCCCAACTCTAATTTCATTTCCTCGTCTTTCAGAATGGAGGGGGAGGAGGAGGGAATTGCTTGGCTCTGAAATGGGAGAAGGTTGGGAATTTTCCAGCAAAGAAGATGATTCAAACAAGGAATTTAAGGAGGTGGAGGTGGAGCAGGTTCGGGTTGCTACATACAATGTCCTCGCAGTGTCCATCCCAAGCCTCCGTTGCAGAAAATTGGTCTCAGAAACACTATAAAAGGTCTCTTTTGACAATGCTCCTCAATCCACTTGGCTTCTCAGTGCTTCTTGGTCTCTCAGTCCTGTAGGTGAACTAGGTAAGTCTCTTTCTGATTATTGAAGGCTGCCTTTGACGTGGTCATTATCTTGACCCTTTGTTCTGCAGAGATCTATTTATGACAACACGACGGTCCTGTTTAAGGATGTGATTTATGGATTATTTTGCCAGCGTTGGTGATTGGAATTCACTATATCCAGGTCAGTGCTTAAGAATCTTCTGCAGGGTTTGGACCCAGGGTATTCAGCACTGAAACACAGACCTCTGCAACTTGAGTTAGAGGATTAAAGCCCTGTCTAGAAAATCATTTAAGCATGTTCTTAGCCTGAAGCACAAGCATAAATTAATTCCCTCTTCAGTGAAGCACTTAGAAATAGAGACATTAAAAGAGGAGGTCCTGCAGTCTCAGGGCTAGATCCTCAACTAGTGTAATTAGAAGAGCTATTTTGAAATCAACAAAGCAATGTGGATGTACATGAGCTGAGGATCTGACTCTCAGAGTTTAATCTGAGGGTTCCAGTTGCCTGGACATGTGTGCATAGACCCAGAGACGTTTAAGTGATTGAAGAACTATATTATTGATTTGAATGAACAGTTTCAATGACCACAGGAGACTAGAACAAGGTAGCCACGGGTTTTTCCCCCCAGGAGTCAAACCATTCCGCTAGAACAGTTATGCTGCTCCTTACTGATTCCAAACCCCTCAAGGCAGCTGAACGGCTTGAGAATAAAGCTTTTCCACTAAATGCTTTCTTCTCTGTTGATTCATGAAAGAGCTTTCAGGCTCTTTGGGGCTCTCGCAAGGCGCAGTTTGAACATTTGATCACCGCTTAGCTTTCGTGCTATCGCGCCTGATCAGTCCAGCACTTTGGGCTGTATTGTGCAACCCATGCTCACGCATTCTGTGAACAGAGCTACGCGTGGAAATAGCAGAATGTAGCTCTGTCAGGTGCTTATTATCTAAAGAGAGAGGCACCTAACCCAACCAACAGCTCTCTTGATAGATGTCTCAAGAGATGCAAAATGAAAAGCCTTGCGCTGGGAGTCCTAGCAGGGATACATTCTCAGAAGCACAGCTATGTTGCCATTGCCAGCAGAAAATAACGGAACCCCAATAAATGGTAACCCCAATGCACAATTTACTGGAATATTTTCTCTTAATCTCACAGGGCATATTCAGTTGCCCAGTAAGAGCCGATGACATGTATGCCCGAAAAAGGAGAGGCGAGGTTTAGCTTGAGATTGTCAAAGGAGTCTAAATCCTATTGATAGTCACTGAGAAGAGAGCATCTAATTCCCCTAGGCTCTTCTGGAAAACCCCATGTTGCAATGAAGGAAAATACTGGAAGATTGTCTTATGCTCACAAGGGCTGTGTTCTTACTTTCCTTTCAGGTTTACTTTTTTCGTTGAAATATGTCTCACCAACATCAGCAACACTGTAAGCAAACCTGCCTGCCACCACCAATGTGTCCACCCCAGTGCCCGGACCCGTGCCCCCCACCGAAATGCCCAGAGCCGTATCCTCCACTCAAGTGCCAGGAGCCATGCCCTCCACCCAAGGGCCCCGAGACGTACCCTCCGCCTAAGTGCTCGCCTATGCAGAAGTACAACTGAAGTAATATGAGTATCCACCGGATCATCAACAGCCATGAAATGTCAAGCAAACTTACAAGTTTCTGTGTCCAACTTATTTCATATTTGGTTCTCTCATGTTCTCCCTGGCTTGGCTTCTGGGGGGTATCAGAGCCCTACTTGTACACTGTGTATTTATTCAGTCGTCAGTATCCTCTAGAGATTGGTATAGTCTGCAATTGGCTTTGTATCCCTGAAATATTGGTATTTAGGTGATAATGGAGTAAATTCATTCGCCTGTTTTCCATTCCATATTTCATTGTAAACATGCTGGAATAAAAATGATAATTTATTGTATCCACTGGCTCCTGGTGTTTCCTTTACCTTGCAACTCTATTTTTCTCGGCTAGCTACACATTGCTACGGCACCCATCACTGTGAGCTCCTCACACACATTACTACATTTATCCTGAAAACCACCCTGTAATGCAGAGGTGTGTTATGTCTGTTGCAGGTGGGAAATTAATAGAGAGAATAAGTGACTTGACCAAGGTGACATTGGATGTCTGTAGCAGAGCTGGGGACAGACCTCTGAGACTTTAGGGCTCAGTTCTGTAATTTAACCAGAAGACTATCCTTCTGCTGGGGCCTATTTTCCTCCCTGTCTCTCTGCTTCCTAGGGGGATTTTTAAGAGCAGGTTGGACGAACACCTGTCACGAATGGTCTAGAAAGATAATACTTAGTCCTGCCTTGAGTGCAGGAGACTGCACTAGATGACCTCTCGAGGTCTCTTCCACTTCTATGATTCTATGATTCTGTGGGGATGGGAGGGATAGGAAAGGGGGAGGAAAGGCGATCAGAATCTTGGAGGGCACAGAGTGTGAAACCAGGAAGCTGGCTGGGACATTTGGCAGTGGGTGCATGGGCTGGCGTAACAATTTCCGCATCAGGTCATCAGCAGGGTTTGGACCTAGCAACGCTGACCTCACATTACAGACCTTGAGCATTGGAGCTAAAGAGCAGCTCCGGCAGCCAGAAGCATTAGTAGGCTAGCATACCATGTTGAAATTCCATGTTATGTGATTAAGCCCCTTCGTTTTCAGTTCAAAAGAAAAAATAACTTGTTTTATAAGGAAAATACAATACATTGCACGAGACAACTGTATTACGATAATACATTAAGTCTGTGTGGATATGCCAAGCGGCCTGTTTATGAAGTAAGGCTATGTGTAAGTCTAGAAGATACACACAATAAACAAACAGATACACACACAAGCTCTGAAGTGCGTGCGCAATGAACATACTGGTGAATCTCACGCCCACCACATACACATTTCAAGCTGTTAGCAGAGAACAGTTTAAAGCTCTGACACACTAAAATAGGAAGAAAATGAAAGTATGTATCAGAATACATTACAGAACACAAGGAGGACGCATTCGAATGTTTTAAAAAAACAAAAACAGGAGAAAAGGATGAAGTTGAGCACATGCAAATGGTGTGGCCCAATTATTAAATGTAAATATTTACAGGCTAATAGTTCTATGTCTACAACAGTAAGCTATTTATTCAAATGGAAAATTTGATTTGGGGATTAGAGAGATATTCTGTATTTTCTTAAACTCACAGGTGGCATTGTGTTCTGTTTTAGGTCTGCAGCAAACCACATTGATGAATGGAATTCAAAGCATTAATCTACTGAATACCCCCCCCTTTCCCGTCTTTCCGTCCAATCAAATAAACCCCAATATTTACCCAGAAAAAATATGAATAGTTTTTGCACAGATTTTCACCTGGTTCTGTTGTGGTGGTAATAAACACTGATAAGTTCCTGGGACAAATTAAATAAAACACAAACTGAAAACAAAGGGCCCTATATGTGAGCTAGGCAGCAGAGGGAGGCACAACCCACATTTTACGAGGCTGCATCACTGGGAGATCTAGGAAGGTCGAGTTTTAGGCTCACAGGAACCAGCTGCTTCAAATAACTTCATCAGAGAACACCAGGGCTGAGATCCTGCACAGCGGACTCCAGAATAATCCCTGAACTGGCTTGCGGAATAGCGATTGCTGGTTCCACCTCCTCCCACCTCTGTCCCCTTTTCTGACATGCCCATGCAAGGCCAATCTATACGGCCTGCAGTGGCACATTGGGAATAATCTCTCCCACCCATGCTAGAGCTAAAATCTTTCCCTCTTCAGTCCTCTGACTATATCTTATCCCTGTCAGCTATGCACGGGGTGTTTGCTATTTACATTGGTTCTTTCTTCACTAAGAGCATCTTATGAAATGCAAATTCACAGAAGAGGTGTTTTTAAGCAACGTGCAATATTCCTAATTTTCAATGTTTTGAAACTAGAGTTTTTCCACGGATGGGGGAGGATGAGAACGAAACACGGAGACCTGCGAGTGATAATGGTCATGTTAGATCTGCATATGGGATAACCATGGGCTTCAGATTTCATATTTCTCCTGTTGTCTCAGCACTTTGTTATGTCAAAACAGGGCACCAAATTTTGGCCTAGGTCTTTGCATAGCTTCATTTAGCGGCACCTGCATTCACAAACTTTTAAATAAAATAAATGATAAGTGTTCTTAAATTTCTTATTTATAGATAGCTAAGGAAGATGGGCGGGGGTGAGATTTTACTGCATTTTCATCTAAGATTTACAGTCTTTTAAAAACCAAACTAAAGCTATGGGAAGCCACAAATGATGCTGAAAGACATCATTTTTCCCCTGCCATTTCTACCTGTAGGAGCAAAGGCAACAGGTCATTGGGGGCTACTGCGACCAAATTGCTACCAATGATGTAGGAATTGCATTGTGTGGCAGATATACTGCAGGGTCCATTCAGGGGTCTCCCGGACTAGAGCCTCCAGCACGCCGGGCTGCCAGCGGGGGAATTTTTGCACTGAAGCACTGAGATAGGAGGCAGCAGAGGGTGGGCGCACAGAGCAGGGAATACAGGCTTCTGTTTGGTGATTTCAGTTCCTTTCTGCAGAGGCAGAGCACGCCTGTTGCATTCCAAGAGGCGCACGTATGGGGTTCCCCTCCAGTAGGTCCTCCCTGAACCGCCATCTCTCCTTCCAGAACAGGCCCAGAAGGAGGGCTGACAGTTTGGGTTGGGCGTATTCTTTGAGGTTTCATCATATGACATCATCTTTAATTCCTGGAGACTCCAGGCCAATCCTGGAGGCTTGGCAAGCCTACCCAGAAGTGGCGGAAGAGCGGGAGGAGGCAGCCTGAGGGTGGGCAAGCTGGGATTCTGGAGAGTGAGGAACCAGGTCCAGCCTCTGGCGAAGGGGGAATCGGGAGACTGGGCCACTCCCTTTCCTCACTCACTGAGCATGTCACCACAGCTCTCAACCTCACATGTTACCACCACGTTCCTCTTTATGCATATCATCAGAACATCCGTGCAAGCTAAACACATTGCGTTCCTCTACTCTCGAAGGGAAGGGTCTTTTGAAAAGGAAATAAAAGGAAGGAAAACCTGGGCCTGAGAGCCTGTGACTGCTCAAGAGAATGAAGCACCAGGAGGCAGACAATGCCATGGATCGTAGCTTTTATTACTGCACATCTACATGACAAGACGGGGAAATTTCCCAACAACAATCACTCTACAGCACAAGTGACACAGGGTCTCTCTCCCGCCCATACACAATATCCCAGGGGTACAAAGTCGGTCAGTTAAACATTCCAAGGGAAGGCCTTGATACTGTGAGCAGAAAGAGTCTGCACAGTGAGGACAGAGATTGGAAACATTCCCAGAAACACCTCACACTTCAAGGGGAATGCCAGACAAGTGGAGTCAGGAGAGAGCTACTGCGCAAGGGGCTGCAATTCATTTTCATTTTGTAGACGTTGGTGGTTCCGTGGGCCCTAACAGAACTTCTTTTCTTGACAGCAGTGCTGCAGAGGTGGGCATGGAGGGCACGGATCCACACACTTAGGAGGGCATGGACAGGGATCCACGCACTTAGGGGGGCACGGATCCACGCACTTAGGAGGACATGGCCATTGATCCACGCACTTAGGAGGGCACGGATCCACGCACTTAGGAGGACATGGCCATTGATCCACGCACTTAGGAGGGCACGGATCCACGCACTTAGGGGGGCACGGATCCACGCACTTAGGAGGGCACGGACAGGGATCCACACATTTAGTCTTCACCTGCTTCACACAGCATGGAGGGGGCAGGCAGGGCTGTTTGCATTGCTGCTGGTAAGACATCTTCCTGGGACGTGGGCAAAACTGAAAGAAAAAGGAGTTTTCAGAGTTTGCAAAATCAAGACAAACAACTGTATTTTCTTGTTAACATCATGCACCAGAACATTCAGCAGAATCAGAGGCTGGTGCTCTTGGGAACACTTCTCCAGAGAGAGCATTGCCATTCCAAACCACTTCAGAAAGAACAAACATGGGGGAGGATGGACTGAAATCCCATCCTGAAGCCCTTCAATGGGATGAGTGAATTAAAGTCAAGTCACTTAAAGAAAGCCCTCTTGTGAGCAGTAATGTATTTTGGAAGAAGAAACCAAAAAATGAAATCCCAGCCATAAAGTTAGCTCCCAATAATCAGAAGGAGACTTACCCAATTCACCGATGGGAGCAAGTGAAGAAACCAAGTCGACTGAGGATCATTCAGGTGTGAGCCTTTTTATATGGTTCCTGTGGCTTGGTGTCCGGAAATGAGACACCTCAGAGCTATGTGGTTGTGGATTTTCACAATCCAAACCTCCTCCATGTACAGACTCTTCAATTGCTTGGTTGCATCACTATTTTTAATAATTATTTCGATAATTCTAATTATTTTAACAAGAGACATGACGTTATTTGAGGAAATGCTGTCTGTGAGTTGTAACACCTGATCTACGTAATTCAAATTGGAAAAAAGAATTCAATAAAGAACTGGACTCTTTGCTTTCATGAATGAATTCTTATGGATTTCTTGCGACTGAAACACAACCAGAAGTAGGAGGAAGGATCAGTTTGAGCCAAAGAGCAGAGCGGGAGGTTTGGATCAGCTACAAATTT